CCAGATCCCGTTGGGGACTCGACGACGACATCATGATGACTGAGCAATTCGCGTCCTGCTTGGATCTGCAAAACGCTAAATCGAACAGATCGACCATTGATCAGATACCAGGACTATTTTGGTTGGGCTTTCTGTTTCTGAATCGGCTACCCTTAAATACTGCTTGTTTGAGGCGCAACATGTGCAACTACTGTCCTACATCATGATTCATCCAGCAGTTGTTGATCAACCTGTCAGATATTTTTGCTGTAGCTTTAACTGTCTAGCGTATCTTATAAGATAGAACGAAATGGTGAAAAAAGCTGCAGAAAAATGAATTCCGAACGCATTCTTGCTGATAGATTACGAACACTGACAATTAAGGTTTTCGACCCATGAAGGATCACTTTTACTTCTTGATCTGGAATCAGCTGGGACAACTTTATCGATCACCAATATTCGGCGAATCTATACTTATGGTTTATATCAGAAATAATAGAAGGGCCGTAAATAACGACTCTGATGAAGGGGACAGTGAACTTGGGGCCTTTTGTAATCAGAGTTGCCCGTGTAATTCTCGGTGTACTTCTGGTGCTTGGTGCTCTGAAGTTTGTTGTGCGAAGTGTATCATTTGTTCAGGGAAAGAAGTAATAGGTCACCAGGATGCGCCTGGGCTGAACTCGGCTGGACCGGGTCAAGAACAAAGACACTAGAACGATTATGCAAACAAAACTTGTACAGTTGAAGACGAGAGAACAGCGCCTACGCTGGAGTGGGAACGAGCTGTGAAAGGCATGGAAACTTAGGACGGAAGGAAAGCGACCATGTGGAGTCCCGAATAAGAGATTGGGGGAACGTGCTCAAGAGGGACCTCTTCGAAGGCAAGGTAACGGCAGAAGATGCTCTGCAAAGAAGTGATGACAAATCACGAAGCAGAGGACACTGCGACTGAGCGGGATCAACGCTAGGGAAAAGAAGAAAGTCAGTCGAGTATTCCAAGTTTGTCACAGGGAGGAGGGAAACCAGACGTTAACAAGGTGATCTGACTGGGTGAAGAAAACCAGAACAAGTTACTCGAAAAGCAGCGGTTCAAGGCCTAAACCAATGACAGGACATGGGACCTGCGAGAAATTGACAGAATATTTCGTGCGTTTTGAAGAGGTGTTCTGGAAAAATGCACGAACAGCATCCTAATAAGGTGCTGCGAGTCACCCAGGGGCGTCCTTCGAACAAGGTTCAGAAAATTCTGAATAAGGACCTGATTTTCAGTAGTTTCTACTAGGTCTGCACATTGACAGCGACTGCTACTGTCGGTTCAAGTACAAAATAATGACAGATAAACAACTACGTGTGTATTGCTTGGAAGAGACTCAAAGCAAACGGACCCCGCCACGATCCTCAGAGCTTAGATGGTGCGGAACAAGGAATGGAAAGTTTCAACGATGATTCAGCGACAGCGATTGACTCAAGAGGAACCAACGAAAAACTATTCAAATCGGGCAGTCACTGACAAGCCCCTAAAACGCTGAGGCTTGTGGTTCCCCCCGCCGTAACTTGCTGTTTGGATATCAGCCTCTTCCAGGATTGAAAGACATCAAACCACTAAAGATTGTTATATGAATACTCGGTGGGTGATGTGATGGGAGTAGAATCCCAACCTCGTGCATACCTCAGAATTCGAATCTCGCTTGAATTACTCCTATTCTAATTAGATCCTTGAGATTCATGGTTCGCGCCCAAAACGACGGTACCTCCACAAAAAACGTACTGGTACTTGTACTTGCAAGTTCGAGTATGAAGGCCAGTCTGACCGAGTAGCTGAGCCCAACCAACACCTAGCCGGACATCTCAGTCGTTTCAGTCATTTGCACACATCTTTGGGTGTCTCGAATGCTCTCAAATCGTCGTGAGGTTTCGGATCACCCACACACTTAAATAGGATGTTTCATACAACTGACGCCATCTACTTTCTAGAGTCCTCATTTGCAAAAAAGTTCGAGTCTATCAAGTTTGTATCTTGATGAAACCACTCGAAACCACCAATAAGTGCAACGCGGACTTCTGGTGTTCGCAGCTGTTGCGATCACTCGGAGCCATCACCACCGCGGACGAGTCCTCAAAGGCGCAAAAGCTGCTCCAGGTCTGTTCGCTGCGCCCCACGACGTTATCGATCGGGAGCCTGAGTAAATCTTCCCCAGCTTTTAACATGTCACAAAACCCTCGGCGATCCGCCTCATTGCCCTTCTGCTAGCCCACTTACTAGTTCTAACCTTACTGCTCAATCACATTTTCATGCTTCACTATGGAATCTCGGAAAGGCAGCAACTGGGGTGACTACTATTACCGATCAAAACGACCATCCGGGAAAAAAGCATGGCTTCTCGAAGCCATTCATTTCATCAACCAGTCTATACCCACATTTGACGAGCTTTTCGATGAGGTAAGCTTTCACTCGGATTATAAATAAATATTCTTGAAGAATTATTCTAGGAGACATTCTATGTATTTGCATTTCTTGTGGTCGTCTTCTCTATCCTAACAGCAATTTTCCTATCGAAAGTGGTTGGAATCACTATCAAGGAACATAATATCGAGCTTAATCGTGATTGGGGTCGTCCCGAACCTGCGAATCCATTCCGATTTCCATGGAAAGTCAAAAGAGATTGAATAAAGTGTAAATATTTATGACGTTCTGTGTATTGTACAAGCAGTACAAAATATACCAGACACTGCGGGCCATAACGGGTCATCACTGATGTAATGCGTCGTATTGAATGAACAGAAATTAATCTAAACACTTTACAATTTCCCAAATTTTGATATGACTAGTTCAGCTGTTCTCCTGTTCTTCGAATTTGGCTTCCTAATGAATTGTCACTAAGAAAAAGGCATTTTTCTATCCCCCCNAAAAAAAAACAAAACTTGCTCTCGAGAAAAAAGACCATTTTCCGATAAAATAATTACTTACCTCTGAAATAGTTTAGTTGAAAATTTCTGAACCGTTCCCCTCGACAAAATGCAGGAACTTAGCATCAGGAAAAATTTTCTTACAGACTTTGAGGCTTTACGTCCACCTACCGTTTCACCCGCCGATCTCAAGGGACTTAATAAAGTGCTAAATCCATTCGAGACTCTACAGAATTTGAGTAAGTTATGAGAAATTGTACCGATACGAGTAATCATACCTACGTAGGTACCAGACATTAAATTAGTGATAATAACGAGGATGCGTCGTAGGTAATAGGTTGATTCCCACCACAAACAAGTCAATGTGAAAGCAAACCAGATCTTGGAATTTGCACGGTAATCGAATGCATGGCGCACTTCAATTACTCAGTCAATCTCAGATACATTACATTTCCTTCTTTTCAGCTGTTTCAAACTTACCGCACCCTTCTTCTCCAGTATAGTGAACAGGGGTAGTAGGTAAGCAAGAGTTTTTCCAGATCCCGTTGGCGACTCGACGACGACATCATGATGACTGAGCAATTCGCGTCCTGCTTGGATCTGCAAAATACAAGATCGAACAGATCGACCATTAATCAGATAACAGGGCTAGTTCATTTCTAATTCTGGAATCAGCTACCCTTGAATACTGCTTGTTTGAGGCCCAGTATGTACAACTACTATCCTACTTCATGATTCACTCAGCAGCTGGTGATCAACCTACCAGGCATTTTCGCTCTGGTTTTCACTGTTTAGCGTATCTCACGAAATAAAACAGATCGGTGAAGTAAGTTGCAAAAAAATGAATTACAAGCGCGTTCTTGCTGAAAGATTACGAACACTAGCAATCGAGGTTTTCAACCTGGGATCACTTTCACTTTTTGTTCCGGAATCAGCTACAACAAGTCTTATCGATCATCAATATTCGGGGAATCTCAACTTATGGTTCATATCAGAAATGATGGAAAGGACCGTAAATAATGATTCTGATGCTGGGATTACAATCAGTGAACTTGGACCTTTTGTTTTGGGTCCTGTATCAGAGTTGCCCGTGTAGTTCTTGGTGTACCTCTGGCCCGAAGCTCTGAAGTTTGGTGTCCGGAGTGTATCTTTCGTTCAGGGAAAAAAGTAATAGGTCAACAGGATGGGCCAGGGTTGAACTCGACTGGACCGGGTCCGGAACAAAGGCACCAGAACGATTATGTAAACAAAAGCAAGGCAGCTAAAGACGAGAGAACAGCGACTACGTTGGTGTGGGCGCATGCTGCGAAGACCACCGGATCACACTCGATAAAAAAGGCATTGCAGTTTAGGAAGGAAAGAAAGCCACGGAAGTTGCCTTAGATAGAAGGTGGTGACAGCTCACGATGCTGAAGACCCTGCGACTGAGCGGTATCAACGCTAAGGGAAAGAAAGTCAGTCGTGTTTTCCAAGTTTGCGCAGAAAGCAGGGAAGCCCGACTTCGACAAGGTAATCTGACCGGTTAAAAATAACCAACACAAGCCACTCGAAAAGCAGCGGGTTGAGCCTTAAACCATGACAATACAAGGGATGACCTCTTTCTGCATCCTAATAAGATTCCTCGAGTTAGCCAAGGCGTGTCGTATAAGCAAGTTCTGAAGGATGCGGATTAATGCTTCAAAGAGCGTCGTTTTCACAAGCTTTCCACACTTATAGCGATTGCTGGTGTCGCCCAATGTATAATACAAAAAAGTAAATAATTACGGCTGTTGAAGGACTCGTGTATATTGGTTGTAAGAGACCCGAAAAACAGTCCCGCTAGACACGATCCTCATAGTTCAGATGGTGCGAAAAAAATGAGTGAAAAGTTCCTTACGATGACTCAACAGATGATGCAAAAACAGCCGACGAGGACCAATTTAGATGGGACAGTCACCGAGAAGCCCTAAAACGCTGCTGCTGGCTTCCCTTCACCGCATCTTGCTCCAGTTGGTATATCAGCCTTTCCCTCAAATGAACCACCAGAAAATTAAGCTCTTGAAGTTTTTGTTATATACTCGATGGTGATGTGATGGCAATAGGAGTGACTGCAACCTCTAGCAACTGTAGTTCAATATTTGTGTAGATTACATCTACTCTAACCACAATCCTGAGATCCGTCGTTGAAAAACCACGGTAGCCTCACGAAAAAAGTATTCGAATTGCATAAAAGAGCCGACTTAGAACATCAAGCTTGACTGAGTAGCTGGGCTCTGAATGGTAGCCCAAACAATTCAGTCATTTGTACACATCTTTGAAAATTCCGAACGATTCAAAACTGTCGTGGAGTTTTGAGACACCTCCACACCGAAATGGGGTACTTCATAAAATTAGCGTCCTCTACTTTCTGAAGCCCTTATTTCCAAACAAGTATGAGTCTATCAAGCTTATATCTTCATGAGACCTTTGAATCAAACCACCAATGAGTGCAACGCGAACCACTGGTGTTCACAGTTGTTCCAATCATTCGGAGCCACCATCAGCCGCGGACGAATCCTCAAAGGCGCAAAAGCTGCTCCCGGTCTGTTCGCTGCGCCCCACGACGTTATCGATCGGGAGCCTGAGTAAATCTTCCCCAGCTTTTAACATGTCACAAAACCCTCGGCGATCCGCCTCATTGCCCTTCTGCTAGCCCACTTACTAGTTCTAACCTTACTGCTCAATCACATTTTCATGCTTCACTATGGAATCTCGGAAAGGCAGCAACTGGGGTGACTACTATTACCGATCAAAACGACCATCCGGGAAAAAAGCATGGCTTCTCGAAGCCATTCATTTCATCAACCAGTCTATACCCACATTTGACGAGCTTTTCGATGAGGTAAGCTTTCACTCGGATTATAAATAAATATTCTTAAAGAATTATTCTAGGAGACATTCTATGTATTTGCATTTCTTGTGGTCGTCTTCTCTATCCTAACAGCAATTTTCCTATCGAAAGTGGTTGGAATCACTATCAAGGAACATAATATCGAGCTTAATCGTGATTGGGGTCGTCCCGAACCTGCGAATCCATTCCGATTTCCATGGAAAGTCAAAAGAGATTGAATAAAGTGTAAATATTTATGACGTTCTGTGTATTGTACAAGCAGTACAAAATATACCAGACACTGCGGGCCATAACGGGTCATCACTGATGTAATGCGTCGTATTGAATGAACAGAAATTAATCTAAACACTTTACAATTTCCCAAATTTTGATATGACTAGTTCAGCTGTTCTCCTGTTCTTCGAATTTGGCTTCCTAATGAATTGTCACTAAGAAAAAGGCATTTTTCTA